TGTGACATTAAATTTAAAAAATTTGAGCGAAGGTTTGCGGATGGCCAATGAGCTTTGTGATTCCCTCATAAAAATTGATCCTTCTATGAAAAGAGGTCTTGTTTTTAAGAAGCAAATTGATAATGCCACAGCTGAATCTCAATCCGAATTAAAAGGCCATTAGCTGCAAAACAAGAAAAAATTCCTAAGTTCTTTAAATCATTGTATAAACATGATAAAATAATTAATATTGTTAAAAGTTATCTCAATAAATTACTTTTACTATGATATTTTTTTATTATTTGCAACCTTGGAACGTATCTGCTGTATTTCCATACAAAATGCCACTCCGTATTCGCAGATTCCGTATTCGCGGTACATTTTCGGAACGTATCCCCCACGAATATTGAGCTTTCACTGTATAATAATAATATAAATTAGTAATATTTAGAAACATTACAATATTAAAAAAATCAAATACATTAAAATTATTAATTAAATTGTTGACCTAGCCTACACAACAAAAAACAAGGATAAAAATATTTAAAAAATGAAAAAGTAGTAATTTTACCTAATAAGTTAAAACCATTATCATATAATAATTCATCATGTAATGAACTGAGTCGAATTTAAAGAAAATATTAGATTACTTCTCTAATAAAGTTTCCTATGAGAAAACTTTAATATGTGTGATTGTCTTAAAAATAAATGTTAAAATATGTACTTAGGTCAGACAAAAGTAAATTAAAAAACGTTAAGAAAATGATAATGTTCTAATAACGTCGTATCTCCAATTCGGATTACCCTCGCTATATGAGATTATAATACATGCACAATTAAAAATAAAAATAATCTACTATATGGATGCGCTTTAAACTTTTTGGGTGTTATTTATTATAAATATTATATGTACTGGGTGTACCAGATATGAGTGCCAACATTCTAATCATGTATTTAACTCGACAAAAGGAATAGTTTTTCTCTAATATATACAGGGTGTTTCAGGATTGAGTCGATAAACTTTGAGGACATATTCCTCACGTAAAAATAAGTAAAAAATATAAACGAACGGCTGGAAATGCTTCGTTTTCAAGATACAGCGTGTTAAAGATTCCAAAAAATTAATGATAATTTTTAATATCTTGAAAGTGAGTTGTATTTAAATAAAACATGATGTGACATGATTAAATAGTTTGTCGCAATATCTCTCAGTAATTAGTATTACCACTTATAAGTGGTGAAGATATGGGTAGGCAGTTCAATGAATTCGGTAAATAAAGCAGTACGACCCTGTAAAAAATGAGAACTGGAACGAGTTTTGAATTTAATATTTTATCTTGGAGTTCTTCTATTGTTTGCTACCGTTTCACGGTAAATTCAGATTATTTAAGTTCACTTCATAAACTTGTTAATGGCTATAGCTACAGAAATATTCTAAATGCGTTGCTGTTCATATCATAAACTTAGATAAACGTTTATTATTATCAGATATAGACTCAAAATCTAAATGAATGAATAATTTGAGCATGACCAGAAGTAACTTTAAAGAATTTGTAGATTTTTGTTAGAATTTGTCTCTTCAGTTTCAATGTTTTCGTGCAAAAAAATCTAATCATAAGTCACACCAAGTTTTACTTAAATATCTGTTTTCGCTTTCAAGGTATTAAAAATTATCATTATATTTATGGAATTCTAAACATCCTGTATCTCGGAAACGAAGCGTCTCCGGCTCTATGTTTATATACATTTTTTAAATTATTTTGACCAGAGGAACACGCTTCCAAAGTTTGTTGATTTAATATTGAAACGCCCTGTATAATTTTTAAACTTTTAGTTTTCAAAATTACATTTTTTTTTTAAATTGCAGTTGTTGTTACCTGCCACTGAAGCGCAAATTGATACGTTTGGTGAATAACAAATGGTAATTAGTGGTGGTGTTTATGATAGTAAAAATTTTAATATAATGAATCGTTCCATAAAACATTGCTATACGTAAGGTATACCAATAGGGTACTTTGGTACTTCTTTTATTCACAGGCAGCTCGTTAGCGTTATTTTAATGGGCACAAAACGCCGAACAAAAATGTCAGATTTCGAACAAATTTGTTTGTTAGGCAAAAGTTCTTACTTTTAATGAGTTAAATATGCGGTTTAAATTTTGGAACTCATCCCTGGGATACCTTGTAGATAAATATCACATAAAAGCGTAGTTGGCAATTTTATTATTTTTTATATGTTGGGAACCGAACTGTGCCCACTGCTCGTAAAAATACTTTTCTCGAAAACAAGATAACTTTTATGGAGGCGGAATACTAAAGTTCTTTAAAAATTTGTGTTACTGGCATTCACGAAACCTATTGTAATTTGATTCCAAATTTCAGTTTAGACACCCACATGTAAATCAGCTAATAAAAGTGGAATAAGAATAAATAAATATTTGTTTTGTAATGCTTCTAATCATTTAAAAAGCAAATTAGAGATTTAGATATATAATTGTATATGGCAGCATTTACTTTTTTCTAATACATTGAACATTTTAATGGAAGTAAATAAATAAACTAATTAATATTACCGATTTTCAAGAAACGGCATAATATGTCGTAGTAGAAATCTATGACTTTTAAATATTCAAAATAGACATAATAAATGTGTTCTTGATTAACGTAATTTAGAACTTAATCTTATTTATAATTATGTAATAATGCAGACAATACAAATGTTGCAAAGTAAATTTTAAAGTTATTGACAGATGCAGCAACTTCAGCAGTAAAAGCTTGAAACCACGTCTTAGAAAAAATGTTCGATATATCGTTAAATCATTGATTTTATCACCACTATCTTGTAGGGATTGGGGGTGAAAGTTTCATTTTTTTTTTAAATTTAACTTCGTTCAACAGCAGTTGATATAAAAACGAAAGTTATTTGTGACTTAGGTATTAAAACCCGGAAACAGTGTTTTAGCTATTTTGTAAAAGACCACCTGTAAAATTACAGAATCATTCGAATTGATTAATTCATTGTAACCTAGTTCGCCACGACTCGTCAAGTGCCATTTGACCGTAGTTAGGCGGTAAATTGAGAAAGTTGTTAAGCCAAGGTGTATGTCTTTGGCTTTCCTTTTTATTTTGTAGCTATTTCTTGTAGTTGAACTGCAAGGAGACTATTAAATAAGATTATGATGTAAACATGTGGTAACTTATTGTTTATGAATATTTTGACAAAGTTACTACATACTACGATTGGACGACAGATTGATGATCTAGGTATTGAGCGGTAAGTATATATTTTGGCAGATTATTACTGTAAATTTTTACAAAATATTGGTATATCACAAGTAAGGAACTGCTATATAAAGCATCTATATGGTAAAGCCGGAATTCCTTCTACGCTTTCAGAAAAAGAGTTATACACATTTGGTTTTCATTTTTTTTTAACTGCCATCTGAAGTCCTCAGTACCTATATGCGATTTATTTCCCTCTAAATAAGCAAGGAAGGCTTCAATGTATGGAAGGTCACTTTCGAAGTCGGGTTGTTTACACACACTATCTAGAGACTTCTGCTCTGGTTATGGAACTACAAGATAGCAGAAATGGCGTTAGATCGCGCTTCATGATGGTTCCGCCATTTCTAGGGACTGCTTTTCGGTATGGATTCTGACATCCTCGGATTAGGGCGATTCATGGCTGTTGACTTACCCCCCTCGTGGAATGTAGCTATCATTTTAGATTACGTAAGGCAACTCCGTCTTTAGTCCTCGCTCAACTTTCACGAAAAAATTCGAAAATGATATTTTGGATATTCTGTGAAGGACGTCTACGGTCATTCTGTCGACAGTTTGGGCGATTGAACGCGAAATATGGCTGATAATTTCGATTCGAAAAAGAAGCGAAAATCTCAAAGTATTCTGAGGATTTCCGGGAACGCAGGAAGCACTAGAATTTCGCTGGATAATATGTAGATGTTCAAAGAGAAAGTGTTAATATATAAATGCAAATTAAATACACAAATTAGGTACCCGCATTTTTTCAATGGTTAGGCCGAGAATTTTTCAAATTGTCCTCGTACTATTGATTTATGCTAGCAGTTATTATTGCGCTTGGACTAGGCGTCCATTAGACAGAAGTAGGATTATGACCCCGAAAGAAGGGAGACTTTTGATTTAATATATCTTGATATACTGTGATATCGTTTACATACAGGGCGATAAATAGTGCGTATTTGGCTTTTTTGAACGTCATATTTTTTCACGATTTGCTTGTAAATATCTTAAAGAGGGTCTACTTCGTGGATTTTTTTCTGTAAAGTTACCTGAAGAGGTTAGTGTGCTTACCAAAATTTAACAGTGAACAAGATAGTGCAAATCATCGACAATGCCACAAACATAACTCATGAGTAACAAGAGGCACGGACACCGTACTATGTCTCGAATGTAACATTTGAACATTTTTACTAATAAAGCCTTTTTCCTAAGATTTTAAATAGCGTATCCATCTTACGTACCTCTGAATTTTTTATATCGCATTTCTTTTTGTACTTATGAACACTTACCGATAGGGACATGTAGATAAGTTAATATATTTGAAAATTTGTTGTGAATTTTAATTTTTATTATTAACTATTTTAATGTAATATTAATAAGACATTAATGTCAAAATTCTGATAGCATTAATAATTGCAAACAGATCTCTTCTGAAATTCAATTTTAAATAGATGACAAATTAATTGGAAATTATTTTTAAGTGCGTATTTAATTTTTTTTTCATGTGGCCCTAGGCCGCAGGCAAATGAATCCTTTAAATGCAGTCTAAACGATTTGGAGATGTTATAAAAACAATTTGCTCGGAAATAAATTAGCCTGTTTAAAAAGGGGAAAGAAATACGTCTGAAGTTTGCTAAAATTTATGTACAGAGTCGTTGCAGGTATCCATAAAGACCATTTTAATTTGTCTCGTAAAATATTGGTCCCGTTCTACGTTGCTGAGAAAAAATAAACGATTTAATTTAATCATAATAACCTTACCTTATCTCTATTTTTCTTTTTACTGGATGCCCGTTTCTTTGGAGATTTTCTCAAACTTGACTTGAAACTTCCCTTTCTCGGCAGTTTTACGATCCAGGATGGAGGAACTATAATACTACTATGTACACCTGAAACCAACGGGAAAAATGTGATTTACTGAAATGAAGTACGGTAGTTTAGAGTTTTACAGTCTGCTTTACAGCTGGAACCAATACCCTTAGCGCCGTAAAGGTATTAGTGCTGTAATGACTTTATTTCTACATGATTGATTGTTTTATAAATGAAAATATAGAGAAGTACCACACAATTATAGTTTATAACGGGTATATTATTAAGAATAGAATACAGATTAAGGGGACATAAATAAGGTTACAATACAGGGTATTATGCGTACAATAAACCACATATTCTTGGGTTCTAAATAAAATAGATAATTTAACTAAAACCACGTCTATACAAAATTTTGTTTATTTAGCAGCTAGAAGGAATTAAAGTTTCTAGTTTCTTCCAAAAAATTCGAGTTGTAGTACTCGTGTATAAACTTCACTCTTTGACATGGTAACCGAAATAATTGCATTTACTAAAATGGGAAAAATGTTCTTAGATAGATATAGCTGATACTCATGCTTACAAATTCAGTTCTTTCTTGTATCTTTTTATATTCCTGAAGGTTTTCCATGATACTGTGCAAAACCGTACTTATCTTATCAACTTCGACGTCACCTGTTACATGAGTGTTGTATAATAATGAAAAAGTAATATTGACGGTTGGTAAAAGAAAGCGCAAAAACTAACGCTTAGGTAGGAAATTCTCGAAGGAAGCCTAGATAGTCGAAGATAGGCAGTTGAAGTGCGAACAGTGGGCAGATAGGTAGCAAGACGATCGGCGGGCAGTGTGTCCAAGTAGTGTAAAATTAAGTGTTTAACCAGTATTAATTAGCAGGTAATATTCTCTAAGTCCTTTGTTGTTAATTGTTCTGTGTAATCTTATGATTGTGATGTTTATAGATGTTTCATGATAATAATTCTTTGTATGTTTAGCTTCCATTGCTTTATGCTCAAGGGCATATATTTTTCTAAGGTAAAATTGTTATACTTATTGTTAACGATTGCTCATTAGTGTATGATTAATATGGGGTTAACAGATGACATTTAGTGACACATTAAATGGGACAAGACTTATTTATCATTAACAAAGGATCTTAATTTATTCCTTTGGTTAGTGGTTGTTTTTGTATTTATATTTGGGTGGTAAGAGCAACGATCGTGGGTTTCTCTGCCATGCTCTTTCCCCGCAGGAGCTCTAGGTGAGCCTGGCACTCTCCTTTTATGTTTAACGGTTGTTAATGTTTTTGTTGTTCTTTCTATTTGTCACATGTTTAATTTGAATTGTATGTAAATAAAGGTTAGGTGTATTTACTCTGCTTTTGTTTTATATAATTAAACCATACATCCCCTCTACAAAGTTAGTAGCCAGCGCCTTCCGGTCAATTAAAAATGGATACACACAACGTAGGTAGTCCTTATGACGATCACATATTTCTGGCCACAACTACGTTTACTTATTTTTTGTCGAACCTAGGGTTGTTATAATACAGAATGGTGCCGTGACCAGGATAGGCGCTGTACAGTGAAAGCTTTATCGGGATGTTTGGATGTTTATGTTATAGCATGGTACTGCAGTATTTTTTTTTGTGTCTAGCAACAGCAGCAGTAGCAGGAGCCGTAGCAGGAGCAGAGGCAAAGGTAGGGGCGGCAACTGCACTAGCACCAGCACCAGCAGCAACAGCCACAACAGTAGCTTAACAGCGGTCGCAGCCAGGACTGCGTTAGTAACAACGTCAGTACTCCTAACGAACCCAGAGACAGAGTAGGTATTTCCAGAGAGGGGCGACCGAGTCGGCCAGCTAAAGGACCTGTAGCAGCACTTAAGCTACCTCCTCCTATAGTCACCATTGCTGAGGTAACAGATGCGTCTACTGACCACCACTTATTGTTCCTGTCAAGATTTGGTTTGGTCGAAGTCATGCCTAGAAGTGTGGAGTCTAAGCGGAACGACGTTTGTCAAAGAAACATGTTTCATTTGGAACGGTATTGGTCGGAGATCTAGAACTTCTACGTGAAGATCCTGTTTCTAATGCTACGAAGAACATTGTTTACAAATTCTACCCGTTATATTCTGGACCTTATAAAGTACATACCAGACAAACCATTTCCAAATGTTTACACTTTCTGCGACATTAATTCAAATGAAAGGAAAGTCCGTCTTTGTGTGTTGAAAGATATTTCTGAGCCATGTTCGTCTCATCACTATCTTCCAAAGGGGCGTCTGTGCAAAACCGTACTTATCTTATCAACTTCGACGTCACCTGTTACATGAGTGTTGTATAATAATGAAAAAGTAATATTGACGGTTGGTAAAAGAAAGCGCAAAAACTAACGCTTAGGTAGGAAATTCTCGAAGGAAGCCTAGATAGTCGAAGATAGGCAGTTGAAGTGCGAACAGTGGGCAGATAGGTAGCAAGACGATCGGCGGGCAGTGTGTCCAAGTAGTGTAAAATTAAGTGTTTAACCAGTATTAATTGCAGGTAATATTCTCTAAGTCCTTTGTTGTTAATTGTTCTGTGTAATCTTATGATTGTGATGTTTATAGATGTTTCATGATAATAATTCTTTGTATGTTTAGCTTCCATTGCTTTATGCTCAAGGGCATATATTTTTCTAAGGTAAAATTGTTATACTTATTGTTAACGATTGCTCATTAGTGTATGATTAATATGGGGTTAACAGATGACATTTAGTGACACATTAAATGGGACAAGACTTATTTATCATTAACAAAGGATCTTAATTTATTCCTTTGGTTAGTGGTTGTTTTTGTATTTATATTTGGGTGGTAAGAGCAACGATCGTGGGTTTCTCTGCCATGCTCTTTCCCCGCAGGAGCTCTAGGTGAGCCTGGCACTCTCCTTTTATGTTNATAAAATTCGCTTCCTGCATTAGGAGGCGCCTAAAATTTCTTTATATATTAATCTATATCTAAAAAATATGTTAATACCGTAGATATCTGTATTTCCACATGTTTCCCATCAATAGCAACAATACAGTTTGAGAAATGCCACCGATGCTTAAATCCACTAGTTTCTAACCACTGCACTTCTGATGGAGGATGAAGAACTAGAGTAGTTGCAGAACTTCCCAAATCACTTGCGTTGTTTTTGATATTATTTCAGAAACAGTACTTACTCCTACACGAAATAAATAGGACGGGCTAACCATGCTATCACCGGCAGCAAGACATCTGTCAAAACAATACATTTGCATTATTCTTTATTTTATTTATGTAATATAGTATAAATATACTGACCTTAATACCCAGTCTAGTCCATTGACAAATTGGCTCTCTTCTAACATCGACATCGACTTTTGCAATATGAGGCCCTATTAAGATAACAAGTACTCAAAGGCTTCTGGTCCCATGCGAAAAAAAATTACGTATTTGTTAACTGTATTCAATTGCATTGCAGCAATTAAATTTTGACCAGCCCCACATTTTCTTCTAGCTTCTGTTTTAAAAATAGACCTTGTCCATATACTATAAATGATAATGTTTTATCGTATATCACCCACAAAGTTACAATTCCAATATATTCATTTACTATTTCTCATTTACCTTCTGTTTATTTTTTAATTCTTGGTATTTTTTTTGGTTTGCAGTTGACGCCAAAAATTATTAATAATGATGTTTTTAGGTCTATTTCAACTACTATTCAGCTATTAGATAAATGTTGCCCATACATTAGGAGGGCTTAATAATATATGGAACTAAGCTACTATACAGTTTTGATCGGCACCCAACATTTGAAAAATCGATGGTGGGGACGTGTAGCGCGCTACAGTCCAAGTTCTGTGAACTCGGCATAATAATCGTATTTCAGAGAGGTAATGTCTCCAACAGTTGTGCCATGAAAAAAAACTAAGCTAAACAATTAATCGATACAAGTAATAATAATAATAATAATAATATGCCTTTATTTTCATATGAAAAACAAATTATTGAACATAATCATATAAATGGCGGCGAGATCTAGCAGAGCTACTCATTCTAACCGCCCGTTTTACAAAAAAAATACATAAATATATATACACAGAGTAAATAAACACTACTATGTTTTAAGGGTAACAATGTGTTTCTTAATTGCTGTTTTAAAACTAGTCACAGTGGAGCAAGAGGTAACATTTACAGGTAAAGAATTGTAAAGTTTTACAGCATTGCAACTAAAAGAGCGTTGAAATATTGCAGAACAGTGTCTTGGCATGACAAATTTATTACAGTGACGAGTAATTCTATGATGCGTACTTGCACGACGAATTAATTTATCACGCAAATAGTAAGGTTGTTCCCATGTGATAACCTTGTATATTAATGTTGACAAATGTTAGACAAAGGATCCTATATTAGCCAATATCGATATTTTGTACAGGGCATTTTTTATAATACGATCATTTTTAGAAAGTTTAAACTTGATTTTATAAAATTTTCCGAATGGAACACCCTGTATTTTAGTGTTCTATTTTATTCACATATCGTCAACTTTTATTAATCATGTTCTATATCTAAAATTGTTAGTTTTTAAGATATAGCAATATTTCGGAAAAAACATAATTTTTATTATTTTATAGAATACCACAAATAAATATTAACTAATAAAATTAACTCAGAATGGAATGAGAAATTATGAACTGACAAGTTGACACAATGTGACAGTTTTTTCCAAAGCCATTTTGTGCGACCGAAAATAATAAAAATTAGGTTTTTCCAGAAATGTTGCTATATCTTAAAAACTAACAACTTTAGGTGTAGAACATACTTGATAAAAGTTGAAGTAGACTGATATGTGAATAAAATA